TTCCTGGGTAGTGCAGCACTCCTGAGCATGGTGCTGGGCAGGCTCTGCACCACAGCCACCTGAGGAATGAACAGCAGCAACTAGATCGAGTTAGCCTGCTGTGGGGCGGTGATCTGTGTGATTCTTTCACAGAGCTCTTGTTGCATCTCCCTGATGAGGCATAACTGTACTTTCTGTCTTCTTGCCATTTCCTATCCTGGGTTGTCATTTTGACAGATTACCAAAGACCAAACCATGAGTTTATCCATTGTGCAGGAAAGAGCGAAATTCATCAGGAATGAGCCTGTGTCATGATGGCTGATGAAAGTAGCTGAAGTAGGAGAGTAATTACAGACTCCTCAATACGGAGTCACAGTGGTTATTAGGCATGGCTGTAAGGAGAAGTGATGTGTTGGATTTATCTCCATGCTAATCATGTTCTTCAGAGAAAAATCAACAGCTGTTCTTCCATGGCAGTTGAATGGCAAGTGGAAGGTGCCTCCAGCTAGGTTGCAGGGGGAAAATGTGTCAAAGTATAACCTGTCAGAGCATTCACAGGGGAGTGTTTTGAATGAGTGAAGATCATTCACCTGAATTCCCAAGTCTAAAACATGGCTTATAGCTCAGAGCAACTGGGTCCAGCTGTGTTCCAGGCACATAGAAAATGGTGGAGTGCCACAGCACAGTAATAGCTCACTGTGACAGGATGTCCTCTGTCTTACCTGCTCCTGATGTGCTGCTGTGTACTTGGCTGTTCAGCTGCGCAGGCTGGAAAGTTGTACTTTGAAGAGGAAGAAACTTTCTCTTTCTTTACCTTGAAAACAGGCAAAGGTGGATGGCAAAAGTGCTCAATATGTTATAAGTGCTCAATATGTTAATGTATACCTCATTTAGCTGAGGTGCAGCTAAATGTGTGTGTAGAGGGGAAGCTTTTTGGTAACATTGGTGAAGAGGAGAAGAATTAAGAGTATAAGTGTAATTTCTTCTCTATCTTCTCACCCTCCCATCAAAAGCTTTAAAATAAAGAAATAATCAGATGCTGTGTTTGTGATCAAGCTTTGCTCCAACAATGAAGGTTGGGTTTTTTTGTGTGTGTGTGTAGGTGTTGGAGACCTGTGTGAAGAACTGTGGCCATCGCTTTCATGTCTTAGTGGCAAACCGTGACTTCATCGATGGTGTTCTGGTGAAAATCATCTCTCCCAAGAACAATCCCCCCACTATTGTACAGGATAAAGTCCTAGCACTGATTCAGGTACACAGCTTGTCTCTGCTTCCATATGTTGCTGCCTGAAATAAGGACTGTCTGCTTCAATGCTACGCATGGCTAAACATGCTGTCATCAGTAAAAATGTGGCAAGTGTTTTATATATAAAATCAAACAATATAGCCAGATTGGAGGGGAAGAGCAGACATGCACATGCATAGATATTTTATCCAGGGAGGACTGTCTGGTTTCTAGTTAGAGAGGTAACAGCCTACTCTAAAACAGGAGGATTTAATAAAAGGTAAGCGGATGGCTTTGCAATTTAACAGTCACATCTCAAAGATGGAGACCTGCTGCTGCAATGGGCTTGTCATCTGAGGGCAGGAGATTTCAGAGGACTGTGCTTTTGGTGTCAGCTGCAGAACACTTGCCTTTCTGTGCCTGTTTCCCTGACCGTAAAATGGAGCTGTTTTCCTCCATTAGAAAGCATTCTGCATTCCTTTCAAAGATGGTCATAGAAAAGTAAATGACCATATAAGAGTTAAAATGGTTTTGGTGTCTTTTCTCTGGTTATTGTGCAGTAAAAGCACAGTGTCAGCTCCTTGCCTGCAGTGGGAAGTTCAGACATGGGCCTGTCTGCCACTTCTCCTTCTGTGCAGCACAACAATAAACAGCCGTGTTAATTCCACAAACCATTAGCCACACATGAGGAAACATTGGTGCCTGCCTGCAGGAAATCTGACAATTATAGGAAGCTTTATCACTAAGCTTCCACAGGCTACTGCGTACACCAGAGACTGAAAGACACTGCGTATTTAAAATGATATAAACCTGCTGCAGTGTTCCTTGTGGGAAGGTATTTACCAACGCAGTGTCGTTTTCCAGATACACTTCTGGTTTTTATGGCAAAGCATGCAGTCGGATTTCTGCTGCTTTATTTGTTATTTGGATACAGGGATGGAGCATCGTTAGAGCGTAACAATGTAAATAAGTAATTTCCAGACAGAAAATGGTGGTGGAATTAAGCATTGCATAGGGGTCTGTGGGGTCCATTTATTTCTGGTGTCTGATTTTATGGCTTTTTTTTTTTTAAATAGCACAAAAATAATGGAATTATTAAAAGCAATTCTTGTGCATCTGACTGGGCCCTCAGGTGTCTACGTGCCCTGATGGGAGAGCTGATGCATGCAGTGACCATGGGATGAGGTTCAATACTGTCCCATAAAGATAAACTGTGTGTGTTTCCATATTGGTTTAGAGAATGTTGGTTGTGCTGGGTCCTGGATTTAAATGGATTCCTAGTCGTCAGTGCAGCTGAGATGGAAGAGTCTGTAACGTAACCAGAAAGCCACAGTCATTGCCTCGGTGTATTAAACAGCTTTATCTGAGGAGACTTAGAGCTGAAACCTCATTCTGGGCACTAAATGCCTTTGGTATAAAAAGCCTGAAAATTATGAAGGTTGCCTGTGGGTGGGTTCTGTTAGTGTCTCTTTAGCTGGAGGTGGTAGGGGACTTTGTTTTCCAGATTGCCTGTCAAGTTTGGAAGAGTGATTGCAGTCACTCATCCCTAGTGCCCTATGGACACACACCCCCAAAATCCCCTGCACATCGTGGCCACTCTGCTTTCTAGAGCTCCCTGGGCTTGGAGTTAACCCTGTTCCAGGGGGCTGATCTCTCAGGTCTGCTCCTCTCACACTGCCTTTATCCCTTTCTGTATGCCTTTTGCAATTTGATATTGGGGAATTAATAAGAACAGAAATGAAAGGATTAATAACAGACCTGGAAGTATGGAGAAGAGCTGTACAAATAGTGTATGTCTTCAGCCACACAGTCTGGTATTCCCGGGCCATTCCAAGCACGGGTAGATAAAGCTGCCATCCAATTTCTTATCTAGAAACCTGACTGGTTTGAGATGTTGAGCATCTTGTGTCTCACTTTCTCAATCTATTTCCCAGTGTACATGAATTAGCATGTGTTACATAGTGCTTATCCTTCCTTCTTCACCTTGCTAAAAGGCCTTGGAAATATTCCTTATCGCTGTGCCCCTGGTAAGAGTTTGCCTATCACCTCAGAGCTGATGTCACCTTACTGCAAAGTAGCTGAGCTTTCACATCAGATATGAAGCGAGGGAAGACTTTCAGTGGCATGGCAAATTCTTTTGAGGGTATGTGTGGTAAAAAGTGTCTGACACTGGAAAAATTGTCTTGGGAAGGTCCCTGGTTTTGGGGCTGGATTTACAACTGTATTTAATTAACCTGTTTGGACACACTGAGGATCCAAGTGGGATTGATGCAGCAGCATCTAGAAGTGTCCACCTTTGACAGTATGGCCCAAAGTCTTAGAAGCTCTGAATTCAATCTCACCTCTGTCCTGCACTTGTGTGGACAATGGACAGGTCTGCTAAGCTCTAGTGTAGCTCCTTATTCATAAAGGCAGAGCTAATATTACTGTTGCCTGGTTGGATTGTAAGCTGCCTAGGACAGGGATTGTCTTACAATGTGTGCAGACAGCACTTAGGACAATAGTGCCCAGTCCTGCTTGTGACCTCTGAGAGACTCTAATGTAGATAATGCTCCCAGCTCGGGTGAAGAGGAATACAAATGGAAGTGTCTCCTTTCTCCAGGGAAGAGAGCTGCAGAAGAGAGAATACATTATAAAGGTAGAGTGGAGATGAAGTGAGTTCATTTTGCAAAATCTATAGGCAGCCAGTGAAAGAGAGGATGCATTAGTACACCCTCCAGGACAAACAAGCCTCATTAGAAATTGGGGGCAGCAGTGCAGCACACTTTGGCCTCTTAAGTTTCTTTTGGAGCGATTATTAAACAGAATATCCCTTGCCTAACATTTTTCACTCTTGCTTGCGAATAGAGTTGAAGTGGGGAGCACCATTATGTAGAAGCATCATTTAGATGACTTCTGATGTAAATTGAAAAGGCAGAGAAAGTGCAAAGCTGGAGTTACTTGTGCAGTCAAAATCTGTCAGAGTTAGGGATGGTTTGGAAGGTTAGTTCCAAGGAAACAGAATGTTCGCAGTTGGAGCTGTTTTCCCTGGCTCAACCAGGGCTGTTTGGACTTGCACTGCATCAGAACAGTTGATGCAGTTAATTTACTCTTAACAAAACTGAGAAGCAAACCCAGGATTTTCAGCTTGCACCTAATAATGGATTGTCTCCTGGGCATGGAGGGTAGGAAATGCACTTTCTTAGGACTGAACAGAACAGGAATGAGAGTTAAATATTAATATTATTTCTTGTCTTGCTTTGCTGTCTTTGATTTCTCTCCTCTCAAATACAAAAGTGGTTAAAGCAGCTTTTAAAGCAAAAATAGTCAAAGAACTAGTCTACAAGTGATGACTAAAAGAATTGAGTTCAGAGCCCACACACGCGTCTCGCAGTGTTTCTGGATGCAGCACGCTGATACTCTGCCTCACATACGTGGGGGTTTGTGGAATGCTTCATTTTTTAATTGAGTCATAATATTTCAGTTTTTTCTTCCTCGAAATTTTTAATATTTGGCTAATTTCCAGCACAAGAGAAAAGGGGGTAGAGGCTTTCAGTATGCTGTGCTCCTTGCAGCTTCATGAGAGCAGGAGGTTAGCTAGCGAAGCACTTCGTACTCCCACGGAAGGGAAAGCTCAAATGTGAATTGAAGTCTTTTTAGACACCAGAGAATTCATGCAGGAGAGATATTATGAATGTTCTGGCTGTGGGAAATTCTCCCTTTTAAACTTGTTCTTTGTGCCGCACTAGGGTGCCTGAGTGTTGGATATGCTCTGCAAGAACTCAGGCGTCAGTTCTGCTGCTCAGGGACTGCCTGTTTCACAACAGAAGGATCTCAGAAACTACCTCTGGTTTATTTAAGTTTGCTCCAAATAAAATACCGAAGACAACTTGACAGCTGTGTTTTTCCTTTGGCAATAAATGAGGATGTCTCAGAAAGTGAATGGAGATTACTTCAGTTTATTGTAGGACTTTATGAATTTTGCTTAGATCACTTGAATCTTTCACACAGACATTTTGTGATGGGTCGTTTGCCATCGAATATGCCAGAAAAGATCAGCATCAATCACTGCTGAGCAGAGGAGACTGGAAGAGGCTTTCATTTGCGCTCACAGAGTTGGATGATGTCAGGGATTGCACACAGCCACTGTGCACTGGGTTCCTGCCTATTTTATACCTCAGTAAAATGTGGATGTGACTGTCTTAATAGTATTTGCAGGATCTTTTGACCAGGTCTGATGATTACAGCTTCCCTTTGAAGCTGAAATACATGAAAGCTTTTATAGTCAGTATCTGAGGTCAGGGTGGAGCTGGAGCTTCCTTTGGAAGGTTTATGGATAATCCCTCATGTTTTTCAGGCTTGGGCTGATGCCTTTCGAAGTAGCCCTGATTTAACTGGAGTAGTGCATATTTATGAAGAGCTCAAGAGGAAAGGCATCGAGTTCCCCATGGCAGATCTGGATGCTCTGTCTCCAATACACACACCACAGAGGGTAAGCTACAGCATTGAAGTTCCAGGGGTATTTTCCCAGGATGTGTAAATAATTGGATAACTACTCATCGTTCCCCTCCCGTTTCTCTGAATTTGACTCATTTTCTTAATCCTGGAAGGACATTTTAACAGTGGAAGGGCAGGTAGGAGAAGCGTAATACAGACTGATAAGCTCATGGTACCTTCTCCCTTGAGTCAGTCATCAGTCTGAGAAGAGAAAAAGAATTTGTAACATTTATCTCGTATCACAAAACCACCATACAAATGCAACTAATTTGTTCAAAGAGAGCCCAGCAGGATATATGACTAAGATTTACTTATTTTGCTCAAAACTGTGGTGGTTTCTGTTGGTGCTAACCCTGAGCCAAGGCCTGACTGTCTTTTAGAGGTATACAGAGCCTGAATCTCTCACTGATCCCATGGTAACGTGAGATCTTTACACCTCTGGAAAGTTAGGTCTGGAAAGTTGACAGAACTGCTGCTAGGAAGTAACTTAATGATCACAGGTGTTCTGATCATCCACTCTGAAAACTGAAGTTAATGAATCTTTGAAGCGGTAAATGCAAGTGATCAAGGACTGAAAGATTACAATTCTTGTGTCAAGATTAATTAAATTCCATATCTCTGTATCACATCATTTTTGGTGTAAGCCTGCAACTTAATTCCTGGTTTAAAATCATTTCTAATTATTTCTCTTTGGCTCTTGTTTTTATTTTGCTTCTCACTTTTCTTGTCAGGGTAGATGGACTTAAATGCATGGGGGTTGGGTCAAAAGATATGGGCATGGAGGATCCTTGGAGCTGCCTGTTTATGGGCTGTCCTGCCAGTCTGTTCTCGTAGCTGCACTGACCTTTCCCAGAAGGTGCAATTATGTTCTATATTTGAGCCTGTTTGGCCTGAGGTTGCTGACAAAGCAAGTGCTGTCCCAATTCAGCTTTTGAACTCCTGTCTTTCTGATGTGGCAGAGTGTTCCTGAAGTTGATCCTGCAGCAAATATGCACAATTCACAGTCTCAGCAAAGGATGAGCAGCAGCTCTTATTCTTCATCTTCTCCAACGGCATATTCTGCTCCTCAGGCCCCAGCCTTGAATGTGACTGGTCCCATCACTGCTAATTCTGAACAGGTATTGGCATGATGATTCTTTCAAGTGAAACTCTTCCAGCAAATCAAATTAGAAACCAATTTGCAAAGCAACTTTCATTTTAGCTCTTTGGCTTTGATTGTCTCCTAGGTCTGGCTCTACTTGATAATCTTTCCTCCTATTACACTGTAAAATCTGAGCTTTAGCTGTGTATATATGGCCTCGTAATGACAGCACAATCTGCTAGACCAGTCCATTCAGTGCTGTACAGTAGTTTAGCAGTTATTCCCATTAGCCTCTCTCCTTTAAAGGCACAGAATGTCTTGCAGATGCAGGAAGTGGAGCCCTTGCAAATGCCCTAATATAGGACTTGTATTTTGTCACTGCGAAAATAGTAACTTTAGAGCCGAAGATCCAGCTCTAAATGTGCACAGCTTTCCCCACACTGGAGTGAGGCACACAAGGTGTACCACAGCCAAGGTCTGGTTTTAAGTGCTGTTTTCAGTTGCTTCCCTTCCATACAGGGACAGCATATCTGGGTTTGTGTTGTTAGTTCTTTTCTTTTTCTGTTGCTTTTCTAAAATTCTCTCCTGGGTAGACTTTATCTTTACTTTTTGGTTGTTTCCTGCTAGAATGTCTGGAGCCTCAGATATCAAGTCAGACAGAACCAGACATATCTCAAAGTCAGTTCTTGAAAATGAACTGCTTAAACCACAAGATTATGCAGTGTTTTTGTCTTTTTACCCCAATTTAGATCGCTCGACTGCGCAGTGAACTGGATATTGTTCGTGGGAATACAAAAGTGATGTCTGAAATGCTGACAGAAATGGTACCTGGACAGGAGGATTCCTCAGACCTTGAGTTACTCCAGGTAACAGTTTCTTTCCAATATGGTTCTGATCGTTTCTGTGCTTGAGTTTCTCTGGGGGATGGGTTTTGGTGTAGCTCATTTCACAGTCGAGTTTACTTGGTTTACATAATGAATGTGGGCTGTGCTCAACCCTGGCTAGTCTCATCACTTCATGCTCTTCATTTGTTAAAGCTTCCAGTGACAAGGATTTCCTGACTTCCCTCTAAGCTTGTTCCAGTGCTTTCTTCTTTGTGTAGCTAGAAATGTTGCCCAATGTTGAATATCAGGTCTCCTTTATCACAAAGCAGCTTGGAATTGCCATGGGCTCTGTAAACCCTGAGCATCTCTGCTTCTTTTACACCCTCCATCATCACTTGCACAGTGTCAAAACATTCCCAGATACCGTGCAGGAAAAAACTGCTTCATATTTCCAGCTGGACTAATTAATGCCAGGGGTCTGTGGATTCTCTGCCACGTGAAATCTTATGTATCAGGTAATTATCTTTCCAGAAGATGTGCTCTCCTGAAGGTAGTGTCCTAAGGCAGGTGCTCAGTTTCATGCTGTCCAGAAGGCTAGACTGGGTAATCAGAAGGGAAAATCTCAGTCCAGTGTGGCATTTTGCATCTCAAGAGGGAATACAGTCTAAACCAAGCTCATGTCTCAGGCTTCACACCTGTTTCCCAAGCCCAGTGGTTGCAGGGTGGCCATTTGGCTGAGGAAGGTCATACAGTCCCACATGCAGCTCAGATGAGGAGCACTGTGATCTAACATTCCAGCTGCTGCCCTTAGCGTGGTATTTGCCTTTCCATAGCTTCAGAAATAGCCTTCTGTTTTGATCCTGCAGCAGGGAGGATGGGCTCCCACAGCAGTCCGTTTGGAGGAAGGCAGGGAATTGCTCTCTGTGATACATCAGGGTTTGAAATCCATCCAAAAACTGGTCTCTCCCATGCAGCGACATTGTGTGTTTGTCTCAGAGCCATCATGGCAGCTGATGAGAGGCTTTGCAATAAAGAGCCTTTCAGTTACTGCCCATTTGGGTCGAACTGCTCAAAACAAAAGAAGCTTCCAGGAAACCCTGACAGGCCGAAACAGCATCGAACAGTTTTGCTTACATTCAGAAACAACCACTAACATCTTGACAGCGTAACCTTACAGCACAGCTTTAAGGTGAAAGAACTTGATCATAAAATGGAGTGACAGCAACAATTCTTTATCCCAACTGGTTCCCTTCTCTGACTGATGCAGCCTAAACCGGAATCACAGAGCTGGGGAGAACCCGTTTTTGATCACAAAGGATGGTTAGTCTTTTGAGAGCTGTGAGCTGGGTGCTGCATGCAAGGAATCCTTGCTTTGAGGTTTATATAGCCCTCCTCCTTAAATAATTCCTGACATTTTCTGCAACCATCAAATGTAAACAGCCTGCTAGAGAGCCAGCTCTGAGCAGAATAGATAGGTACTGTCAGCCCTCTCGGAAAGGCAGCAAACAAACCTCGGAAATGTCACAATCTGCTTCGAAAGTGATGGGATCAAAACTGACATTGGAGAACACATTCCTCAAGCTGTTAAGGCAGCTGGATTGCACTAGGTGAAATTTATCCAGAGCTTAGGATGTCAGGCCATGCAAGGAAAACAAACACATTTTTGCTTTCATCCCGAAGGTTGTGTACCAACAAGTCATCCTTGTTTAGTGCTGAATTTTTGCTGTGAAGTGGAGCTGGGAGGGCTGGAAGATGACAGAGGGACATGCTTTAGCTGGAATGTCAGTGCTTATTGAAGTAAAACTGTGGGCCTGATCAGAGCCACCCTGCCATATGTCATGTTTCTTCTTGCAGTTTCTTCTCAGCAGACTGGTTTGACCTTTGGTCTTGAGGCCTTTCAGGAGTTCAGAATTCTGCTAAGTAATTGGTGGTGGAAGAGATGTCCTGGAAGCATGAGAACTCCTGGTCTAGGCAAACTCAAATCTAGATTTCTTGACGAGAGACTTCTAAAATAAATGCCCTGACTCTGTATTCTTTAAAATGTTCTTCTGAAACTCCCCACTGCCTTTGTGCAGTCTCTGTCTGGGCAATTGCACAGTGGAAGGGAATGTTTCTGTGTGTGGCTCAGGACTGAAGGGTGTGTGGAACACTCATCTTTTCATGCTTCTGGTCCTTGCTTTGTCTTCACCCTCAAGTTCTCTGTAGTTGGTAAGTTCTGTGTCCCCAACACGTGTCTTCCTAGCACACACATAGCTACTTCTGGTAGCCCTGACGAATCTTTTTCCCCCACTTTTTCCCCCATGCACATCATTTAGTTTTTAAGGATGATATTGCCAAAAAGAGCAGATTGAATTTTCCTTGAAAACTCTCTTCTGGAAAGCTGTTGTATTAACATGTTTTATTCTTAAAACAGTTGACTAAAATACAGATATTTATTTTCTGAAGTGCTCAGAGTTAAACAAGAGTCAGGAAGTTGAATTGTAAATAGGCTCTCAAGGTTTTATGCTTCGTCTCTTGAAGGGCGTTTGATTAGATGTGCTTTTGGGTGACATTTAATCATGCAAAGATAAACTTGTCTTAGTGTTTCTCAGCTGGGGGATATGTTTGGCTGTGAACAGAGCTCAACTAAATCTACTTACTGCTTGTTGCTTATCAGAATGTGTGTGCACAATGCATTCCTCCTAGGAACTGAACCGAACCTGTAGAGCTATGCAGCAGAGAATTGTGGAGCTTATCTCACGAGTGTCCAATGAAGAAGTCACAGAGGAGCTGCTGCATGTGAATGATGATTTAAATAACGTCTTCCTCCGATATGAAAGGTGGGACACCTTTACATTCAACTCTTTACATTCATTCTGGGGTTTCACTTACGTATAAACTAGGGCAATTGGCAAGATTGGGTCATCTGGGCCAGTTGTCCAACGTAACACACAGAGAACCAAACCACAGGAAGCATTTACAAAGTCTTTTTATGGTCTTTTATGGAAACATTCCTATTTCAGTTGATTCTTTTAATGCTATGATTTGGGAATATTTTTTGTCCTGCCATTGAATTTTTGTGGGACACATCCATAAAATGCAGGGCAGCTTTGTACAAAACTCTGAACTAGCTGAGACTCCAGTCTGCAAGTCCCTGTTGTGCAGTGCTGTACAGATGTAGGGACTTGGGACTAAAAATAGCATAGCCACAGGCACTAGTTCTCCTTGCTAGCTCTGCACAAATGCCTGTGCTGCTTTCTGGCTTAGGGAGGCTCCTGTGAGCAATCTCTGATCTCTGAGCTTTCCAGTTCCAGTGCTGGTGCAAGGGGAGCTGGTTGAGGTGGGTGGGAGCGTTGCACATGTAAGGGTTTTGGTTTTAAGTAACACTTAAAATCTTGGGGGGAAAAAAACCCCTATCTTGCACAGAGCTGAGGTTTTGAAGAGCTGGTCTGCAGGAATCATCCCCAGGGACAGGACTTGGGGCACAGGACTTTGGACAAGTCAGACAAAGGCGCTGTCAGGCACATCTGCTACAGGAGGTGACACGTGATACAGCAGTCTTGGGAAAGTTTAATCTTCCCCTTAATGACAGGCCTGGGGAGTGAGGCACTAAAGAGTACCCTTTGTTCCTCACTCTTAGCACAGACCTTTGTTTCTCAAGCCTTTAAAAATAAATTAGACTTTAGATCTGTGAATCTATGCTGTCACGGCAAAGACGACTCTGTGGCCTCGTTTTTGCCTTTGATTTAGTTGTTCTGAGGAGATCAGGGCAGACTTTGAAACAAACACCAGCTTTCTGTGTGAAATGGTGTGTGTTTCATGCACGAGCAGGATTCATCAAGTGGCAGAGTGTAACTGGCACTAAGGCTTAGTCTGGTCACCCTTAATATTTTTTCTGTTTTCCTCCATCTGCGATTTTGCTGGCTGGGGCTGATGTGTTTGTAGTCATTGTTCACTGAAAGGTGAGCTGAGTGATGTTAGCAAACTGTTTGTGGTGGAATAGCTGCACTGGTCTGAGTGTTCAATAAATTCCAGTTCCTCCTCTGCTATTCCATAAGCTCCACATCCATCACTCTGATTTCTAGCATGGGCACCAAGCTCCCTCAGTGACTCAAGCAGGAGCTTTGGCCTTCTCTGAGAAGCTTTGGATGTAAATGAACAGAAGCCTTTTGGTGAGAAATGAGGTGGGAGGTGTCTTAGGTTTCCAGCAAAGGGAGTTGGATTTCCAGTAATAGTAAACACCCACAGTTTCCTAAAATTGAAGTTTGGGCCTGAATTCGGTTTTGCTGCCTTTTAAGTCCGTATTTTCCTCTGTTGCATTAAGAAAACAGCTTGCTGTTTTATTTTGTCCATCTGGGAGAAAACCCAGAAGATTATATGAATATTATGGGCTTTTTACTGAAAAAATGAGGTTACATCTGAACCAACTCTTGAATGAGGAAACATTCTCACTTTGGATAAATCATGGTACTTTTCCTGGTAAGGCAGGAGATCAGACTGGCCTTAGACAGGCCTTGGGAGCAGGTAGTTCCCTTGCTTTTTTGAGTTCATAGAATCCCAGAACAGTTTGGGTTGGAAGAGACCTTAAAGCTCATCTTGTTCCAACCTCTGCCATGGGCAGGGACACCTTCCACTAGACAAGGTTGCTCAGAGCTCCATCCAGCCTGGCCTGGAACACTTTCCTGACACCTGGGTTTAGGTTTGTGGCCCCAGATGCACAGAGTAGGGAAAAGACCAGAGCTTGACAAGCCAGACTTCTTCCCCTAAGAAGTATGAGGATTTTTATCCAACATCATTAGTTTTTCTTCTTGGAAAGTACTAACCTATTTGAACATAGGCTCTGAACATCTTTGAGTTGACTCAGAATCCACATTTGCTGAGAATACAACTTCTCACCTCTCCTCCCTTTGTCCTGGCTTGGAGTTAAAGCTTTCAGGCTTCCCTCTTGAACCAGAGAAGACTAGGTTCAGTGGCAAACATGTCATGGCTTGGTTATAAAACCATGGTTTTCATTGTTTATTGTTGGCTTTGATGATCCACGTTGGGATTTGGTCTTTTTTCTGACAGATTTGAACGATACAGATCAGGACGTTCAACACAAAACGCCAGCAATGGAGTAAGTACCTCACTCCTTTAATTTCAGCAGCAGCTGTAGTACTGTCAGTAATATCACACCTTTTACCTGCCCAGACCTGTGTCCTGCCTGTACTGGCTAATGATGGACACCAGAAAAGGAGTGTAAGACTGTGGCAAACCCCAGGTGACAACTTTTAGCTCGGGAAGTCACTTCACTGAAACATCTCTGTGTTTACAATCCTTGATGGATTTTCATTCCTCTATTAACTTTTTTGATTGCTTTTGAGTCCATGTGGACTTTAGGAGTTCACAATGTCCTTAAGCAATAAGTTCCACAGTTTCACTATAAATTTTTACATATTTATTTTACATTTATATATAACAAATATTTTGTTTACATTTGATCAAGTCATTTAATGATTTTTGTTTGCTCCACCTAATTCATCTTCACTGTGTCTTACGATTCTGCTGTGCAGGTTAATTTTCTTCATGCCACTCATAATTTTGGGAACCACTCTCATCTCCTATTTAAGCAGCCCCTTTCCAAGCTGAAGAGTTCTAATTATTCCTTAAATGAAAACTCCTTTGTGCCTGTTTTGTACTGCTCAAGGTCTGAGTTCATGATGAATTCGTACGTGGCACTATTACATATTCTGTTCTGAATTCTTCTAACCATTTCCTCTATTTACTTTGCTTTACCACTTCTGCTGCAGTGTGATGCAAACTTCAGCACAGCCTCTACATTGACACTTTAGTCACAGCAAAGTAGTTTTGTGTATGAAAACAATTAATACCTAATGTGGAAGATGGTGGAAAATTCAGTTTGACTTAGATCTAATGTTGGACTGATGTTAAACACATTAACTGAATCTGGAGAGGTGTAGATGACCTCCAGGAGAGTTCCCTGCTGTGTTGAACAATCAAACTGAGGTTTTGTGGTGGCTGACCCTTTTTATTCTGCACTCATTGCCATAGTATCCAAGAAACGGATCCATTTAACAGAGATCTGTATAGGAAGCACCTATTATTTTTTGGTGTTTAATGTTGCACTGCAAGAAGAAATCTCTGTGATGTGTAACTGCTGTGTTTTTTGTGTCCCAGCAGGTACTGAATGAGGTGACAGAAGATAACTTAATAGATTTGGGTCCTGGCTCTCCAGCTGTAGTGAGCCCAATGGTTGGAAATTCAGCACCTCCATCTTCACTTTCTTCACAGCTTGCAGGACTTGGTGAGTGCCTGACCTAAATCATGCTCTCCACTACCTGATTAATGTTGCCATGTAGCCTCCAAAAGGCTTGGGTATGTGGTTTACAGGATTAGGAAGGCATTCCCACTCCTCTGCACTGTGGCAATCTGTAATTGGGACCCAGCCTGGCACAAAGGGAGGGATTTATTAACCAAAGGGGAGAATGAAGGAAAGGGTCAAGATTCATATTCATGGTAAAGCATGAACTACTGCTTTTTTCCTGCCTAGATACAGCTAAAATATGAGATCAGTCTGGTGAATGTTCTTGATTCCCCTTCTGCAATTAATATTTGAAACTTTTGGATGAATGATTTTATGAAACTCTTAGATGGTTTACATCAAATCAAACCAAAGATTGCTTGGTAGGATCACTTGGTTTGATTTGAGGTTCTCCACCTCTTTCAGCACTGCACCACTACCATATCCCTTGGTTTGAAACTGGTGGTTTCACAGTCAGTAACTGGGAGACAACACTAGTGCCCATGCCCAAAGTTTTGGACTGTGTTAGTGACTAGGAAATGTCTCAGGATGAGACTGGCAGCAGGTGCACACTAATTCCCAGACACTGGATCCTTGATGTGGAGCACTTATGGAGTGGTGCTTCCAGAAGGAATAAAGCAATCCTTACACTTGCCTTTTAAGAAACACATAATTAGTAGTCTCCAGCCTTTTTTGGACAGAACTGTTCTTGGTGCTGCAGCTGTTAACTGATGATGATGTTTGCATATGGTTTGCTATTTCACTGGTTTACTTCTTTTTGCCTCTGGTTGCAGACTTGGGCACAAACAGCGTCAGTGGCACACTCAGCTCTCTCCAGCACAGTAACCCTCGGGATGACTTCGACATGTTTGCACAGACAAGAGGCAGTTCCTTGGCTGAGCAGCGAAAGAAGTAAGTTGGAATTTGTCTTTAGCACTGAGTCATGGCATTGCTGTTTTCTAAGGGCATAAATCTGAAAATTCTTGACTTCAGTCCAGACTGAAAAAGTAGTTTTGGTGTATGTTTTTGTGCTTTTAATCCAATCCTTATCCTTTTGGTCTTTATTAATATGAGCAAGTGGAGAAGTTCCTGCTGCTGGACAGAGCAGACTGGTTGAGTAATGACTGTCTTAGTTAATGAGTTCACTGGAAACTTGGAAGTGTACTTGCCTTTGCTTTGGCAGATGCTTCCTCTCCTACAGATTTGTCATCCCATCCACCCATACTTGAGATACAGGAGCATAAGGGTCCTTCACCCAAAGGTCACGGATGTATTTTGGTGACTAAATTACTATCACCAAGGGCTTGGAAACAGAATTACCATCCAGTTAACTCTCCTTTTGGCCCAGCAGTCAGACTCTCAGAGGCTGTCAAGGCAGTGTAGCTTGCCTGGCTGCCATGCTGCCCCTCATTTGTTTATATGCATAGGGCTTACACCTCTAGACCTGCAAGTCTGGCACTTTCAAGGGCATTTAACAGGTCAAATTATTTTAATGTCAGATAAATCTATGCACTTATTAAGAAAGCCTTTGATCCCTGTCAGGTGAGATTCAATAAAAACCACACTCGGGTATTTTTCTGTCATACATTATTTCTTGCCTCCTTCTGATTTCAGATTCTAGAGGATGTAGTGGCTACCAGGAGTCAGAACATCATCGATATCTTGTCTCTAGCTAAGAATTGTTGTTAAATAGTTCATCAGAAACTTACCAGCTCTGGAAAACTTGAGCCAGCAAATTTATTAGGATATTTATTTGCAGTAATCAATGCAAATATTGTTACTGCCTCAGCTGTGGTATCAGTGCTGAGGAGATGTGCTCTCATGTAACAGCTACCGCTGGAGGTTTCAGGCTGAGAGCCCTAATGTACAATCAGAAAGGAGATGCATTGCAGAGAGATCTAATTGAGGTCCCTCTGTCTCTTGTGCTAAATGAAGCACGAAACTAGTCTTCCCACAGTGTACCTAATGGAACAAGGAGCACTGATCAGTCCATGATTTCACAAGGGAGGATTGCTCTATCTTCCTTGGATTGAACATGGTATAAACAGAGCAGCAGGGAGGAGTGAAGGCACGAGTGTGACTTGCTGTGGTGTGTAGGTGAGAGCTCTGGGTGCTGTGCTGAGAGCTTGGGAGAAGCCAGCACGCAGGAGGAGAGCGTGCTCCTCCTGCTCAGGCAGGCAGCTCCTCCCCGGGGCTGATTTATGGGCATGTGTTGGCGTCTGCTTCAGCTCATGGTTCACCACTGTGCTCTGAGAAATGATGCTATTGCCTCTGTCACCTGACTGCTACATGTCCCTCTTGCACTGCAATTTAAGAAGCTTTAAAAAGCTCTGTAAATAGTGCATGTCTTTGTCTGCTTCACTGCAGTTGCATAATTTCATCTGGTTTTGAGTCTCTCTTTGCCTTCCCCCATGCACCCATCAAGGTCAGGCTTCCAAATGTCACCTCCAAAGCTTTGCTAAACATAATCTGGAATCAGGCCTCTTTTTGTAGTCACCTGCTTGCTTTTGGACATGCTTAGGGTGCCTCATAACCTATTTGCCTGCCTTTCATTATGCTGATCTTACTCTCTTTGCTTCAAGGTGCTTTCTGAAACTGATGGATGGTGTTTGCACAGAGCACACTGCTCTTCTTGGAATACACTTAGTACGCTCCAAGTCTTGTTAAGGAAGAGAACATGCTTTCTGATTTCTAGGGGAATAAATCAGAGTATCCACTGGCACCTCTCCTATGAGGAAAGGTTGGGAGAATTGGGATTGTTCAGCCTGGAAAAGAGAAGGATTCAGGGTGACCTGATTGCAGCCTTCCAGTGCCTGAAGGGAGCCAATGAGAAAGATGGAGGGAAACTATTTACAGGGGCCTGGAGTGACAGGACAAGAGGGAATGGCTTCAAACTGACAGAGAGTAGGTTTAGATTAGATATTAGGAAGAAATCATTTACTGTGAGGGTGGTGAGGGACTGGCACAGGTTGCCCAGAGAAGCTGTGGCTGCCCCATCCCTGGAAGTGTTCCAGGCCAGGATGGATGGAGCTCTGACCAACCTGGTGTAGTCAGAGATGTCCCTGCCCATGGCAGAGGATGGAACTGGATGATTTTTAAGGTCCCTTCCAACCCAAACTTCTAATGATTCTGTATGGGTGACTGCTGGACTTCCTTCTAGTTCTGTGGTTTGTTCCTTTCTTTCAGTGTGACGTATGAGGATCCACAGGCTGTCAAAGGATTGGCATCTGCCCTGGATGTTCGGAAACAGAACACAGGAGGGGTAGGTCATGGCTCTGTGTTTTGTTATCCGTGTGGAATCCAAGCTGTAGGCAGCTGTTTTGACCGAGTTGCTCATTCTGTATTCCAGCAATGTGCTAGTACTGCCTATTTTGAAATTGATATCTGGGAGCAAGTACTTGCTCAGTAATGATCTCTAAAGAGCTGCTGCTTAGCACTCCAGCCTAAAAGACTCACTTCAAAATCACAGTGGGTGAATTCTCCTGTGTCCTTGCAGCTTGTCTGGGGGGTTCAGCTCTTTGGCTGGAATCACTGCTGTAAAGAATTAAGTGGGGAACATCCTGTCAACACTGGTGTGCATTGGTTTGGTTTGGTTTTGCTTATGACAGTTGATGCAGTCTGAATCTACTAGACATTGCTCCAAGTGCATGGATAGATGAGCAAGTTACAGGGAGAGAAATTATGCAGACTTTTAATGCTTCATGTGCCTTGCTATAACTGCCCTTGCACACAGCTTGTTCTGTCTGCCCAGGGCAGGCTCCTGCTCACCTGTGTGGGCAGAAGAGACTCATATGCTGTCCCCTCACAGCAGGTGATGCTAGAAACATGGTTGACAGAGCTTGGCCAGCTTTGTCTGCATCCCTTGCTGAAGGCAGGAGCGAAGGAGCTTTCAGATCATCCCTCATCAACCCCTTTCTACCACCCTCTCTTTTAAAACTGTCCTGCTCTTTGTACGCAGCTGTGCATACGTTTTTAGAGGACAGAGCAAGTTCAGAGCCTTTTCCAGTCTAATTTTGGGCTGTGCTGACCACTAGGGAGCACGGCAGAGCCAGCGTAGCATGGGAGAGCGAGTGCAGCCTGCACACGCCTCCCACCATGGAGAATTGCCTCCCCATGCCTTGGCTGATCCCGCCCTGGTTCTTTCATGAGATGAAATGGGAGTGCTCAGGGTAGCTGGCATGCCTGGCGGCTTGTGCTCTGAGCCAGGGAGAATTTGTGTTGGGAGCCAGCTGGGGTCAGAGCACAGCTGCCTACCCAGGCCATCGTTCAGTGGGAGCAGGGCTTAATCCATGATTTCTTATGGAGCATCTCCACAAATCTGTCTGCTTCTTCCTCTCCCTGCCCTCCTCCAAAAAGGGTAATTTAAAACCCAGGTCAGCCCCGTGACCAGTTTCAAGCTCAGCCCCACAAGAACTCTGCCAGCAGTACTGAGGGAAAAGGGGATGCATGGGGAGGCAGGGGCAGCACTATATTAAGGGAGGTGAGGGAGGAATTCCTGTGTCCAGTGTGACATGCCCAGTATCACTGAGCAGTTATTGGCAGGATCTGGGGAAGGATTTGAGAGTCTGCTCTTTGTTCCTGGCTATCTAAATGCAAGGGACTTGCATTTAGCTGGTCAAGGGGGCTGTATGCTCCCTGTGGCCTTGGGGTCATGTCCTTATTTATTAACACTTTTGTTCCCAGCCAGTTCTGCTTGAGGCACCAGTGTGATGTGTCATTCACACCAGTGGAGCTGCTGCTCTGCCCCAAGTGCCATCAGGTCAAAGGGCTGTGGTTATGCTCATCTGATGGTCAAAGTTTTTTGGGGCAAACGCTTTATCGGTTGTGGAACTTCGGGCTCTGAGGTGGTGTAGAGACTTTCAGCCTCTTTTCAAAGGTCCTGATGACTCTATGATGTAATCAGAAGAGCTCATTTGGAAATGCAGTCACTCAGTAATTGGTAAACACTACCTTTTGTTGAGTGTTGTGAGGCTTGTGGGTGTCTCTTCTTAAAGGAAATAAAAATTAAACTCTTCTAAAGTTACCAGCCCCAGCATGTGTAACAAAAACCTGGCAGTGCTCAGTAAATGAAAGACAGGCTTTAATTTGGGTAGAGCTAATTTAAGAACAGCTCTAGGGAGGACCCAAAAGCTTTGCAACACATTCTTCACACATGTCTCGTTCCAGCACAGTTGTCCAGTGGTAGAATTCAGCACATCCGACGTTTCTAATGTAGTCATTCTCGGAATGGTCTGTAGAGAGGAGGCTGATCACGTGGCATTAGCTGTCTTTTAATGTGATTTAGCAGCTGGAAACTAGATGAGCTAAAAATACACTGTTTTCTTAATATTGCTTTTCCATGTTGGGAATTGCTTTTGTTGCCACAGAGTTGTTGCGTGATCACAACTGGGAGGAGAGGTGTCCAAGAAACAATTCTCTGGTGCCACACAGAGAGTAGATGAAGTTGGAGTGATTTCCCCCTGTTTTTTTTTTTTTTCTCAGGAAATGAGATGTAAAAAATTACAGCTGATTTTCCATTACCTGTGGTAATGGGGACAGGAGAGGTGTCCCATGTATATAGGTGTCTGGGTGGATATGCCGAACACCCTAGTGCCTCTCTGCTGAGCCAGGGCTGGTGGGCTGGAACCACTGTGCTCTGCCAAGCCCAAGCAAGACCCTCCAAAGCTGGAGATGACTCTGCATTCTGCCCTGGCTCGGGGAGGAGATGCTGAAGGACACGAGGCCATCTTAGCATCTGTGTGTTGCTGTGCCATGCAGTCTGAGCCTGCTCAGAGGAACTGGATGCATCAGCGGTCCTTTAACCTCTGTGTTCTTCAAGAGGGGCAGTTTGAAAGGCTGCCAGGACACTGCAGCAAACTGCCATGGCTTTACCCTCCACTCAACACCATGGCTAGAGCTGCTGTGCTGTCAGTGTGGGGCAGAGTCTGTCTGCTGAGGTCAAGGACGTTAGCAGGGTGTGCTGCAACCCACAGCTTCAGAACCAAGGGAAACTCCACAGAGCGTGACATGAGTGTTTCCAGTGAAGTCTGACTGATTTCAGCAGCATGTTCAGCCTCACTTATCCTTCTAAGAAGATGACAAACATTAGCCTCACTACCAGCCAGTGATTGTTTTATTTTATTATTATTTTTTTAATACCAGCATGAAAGAAGTGCTAAAATGCTGTGAACCCTCTGTAGGAAGTGCAGAGTTGGGGGTGAGGTCTGTCCACCCACGGACACAGCTGACAGGCAGCAGAGAGGGGACACAGCTGCTGCCAGAAGCTACCATAGGCTCTGTGTGTGTGACTGTGTCTGAGTGTGTGTGACTGTGTGAAATTTTTAACTGTCATATTACTTTATCACGGGTTGTTGCTGTGGCTTCTCTCTTTATGGACCTTTCTGTTCTCAACACAGAGGAGAGGTAAAGGTGGGAACTCAGACATGGAGCCCATAGACAAGTGGCTAATTACACAAGGAATGGTGAGGACTTCACCAGTGAAGCAATTCCTACTGCCCACCCCAGTCCCTTTACCTAGAATAACCTCTGTTCACCTCTCGTCCTGCCCTATTGAACCGCTTGAAATCGGACAGTACAAGGAGTTTATTTCCCACCTACATCATTACCTGGGGCAGAGGGAAAGATTTGCACCAATTTCTGGTTGATACAGCACAAAGATCTGTAAACAACTGAATCATTTGTAGGATCCCACACACCTTCAGAAGAGGCCTGGGGATCCAACTGGTTCCTTCTACTGTCTTGATTTATTTATGCAGTATCCACTTTTCGAGGGATAAACACAAGTCTCCTGGATCTTATTCATAAAGAGGACACTTGCTATCTGTCTTTAAAGCAGCCTTTTCTGGTAGTGCTTAACTTCATGGTCTGGAATAAACATATGGAAGTTATAGGATCATACCTAATTGAGAAATGTAGGAATAGTTCTTTATGAAAGGAAGGGAATGGGAGAAGTACCCAGATTTACATCTTTCACCTGACTGGCATTAGGAATCAGACTCCAAAAGGTATAATAGTGTTTCTGGCTTTAAGGATTTAATTCCTGTGTTTAGTGATGCCAGTGACCTGATAAAATCAGGCTTCTGAAGATCACTGAACCTGTGCACATTTTGACCTTGTTTGAAGTTGTCCTTCATCAACATGCTTGCAGAGAGAAGTTCAAAGCCTGCTTTAGGTGCAGAAGCCAGAGGTAGGGAAAAAATAGCCTTAGTTATGCCTTAAAGCCAAGTTCTAAGACCAGTTTTATACCTTTGGATGATGTAATCCATCACTTTAAGTGTTTGGGATTAGGATCCATAATGTGACATAACGGTAGAAAATCCTCCTGAGACAGTCTTGGCTGCATCAGAGTTCAGAAAGGTGCAAGGAGAATTCCCTTTGGGCTGAGGTGTGCTGGCAGTGCAGCCTGTGGGGC